CATAGGACAGTCAGAGGAAAATGAAAACTCCTCCTACAAGTTTTAACCAGTGCTCAGCTGGACACTGATAGAAGTCACAAGACTGTTCTAACTGCTGTTGAGAAATGGTATTTAGCAGTTTATATTTACTAAAATATTTGCATTTTCATGTTCTGTGTACTGTGGGAGACTAGATATAGTGAATGCAGGGTCCGAGGTTTAGTAACACTTTAATGGCAGAATTGGACCTAATTCTAGCCTTTTACACTCATCTATACAGCAGCACTTAGACCAGTAGAGAGAGGGGCACCACTTGTAATCAGGTGTTCTGCATTTACAAAGAACATACCATCAGAAGGAAAGCACAGACATTTGAACTAATCAGTTTGTTACTGTTCCATGACTTATCCAATCATAGGCTGGGGGGAGTGAGGTGACCAAGCTGTGTTGCTCATTTGCAGTAGGGAAAGGTCTGGTCACTGGCCTGGCTATGCTGCCTGGCAGGGTTGTATACATCTTGAGACTGGGTGAAAATACAATCCTTTGCCAGGTCCCATGTATGTATTTCTGTGGATTCTGTTCTGGAGAAAGCTTACTTGTGAACCTCAGGATATATTGTCTAAATACGAGCAGCACATGTATTCTCAACTGAATCTGGTGTACTTTGTGTTTCCAGATGTGTGCAGACATTTCCTGTAATAAAGACCGGTCACTGCTCCTCTTGTCTTGCATCCGCTCCCTCATGTAGTTTTCTATAGGAAGCCTGTAGTGGGTGGAGCCTGCTGAGCCCCTCCCACATCTCTGCTCTCTGCATACAGTACGTGCACTACAGTGATGATGTCATGCTACTTTTACGAAGCAATATCTGAGTTTGCAATGGGATTTGATGCCCACAAATTAAATTTTTTATCCTTTGTGACTATTGAAGAATACTACTATATTAAAGCTTTTGTACTCAGAGTTCAGCTTTACATACTGTACAGACTGGGGTATTTCTACCTGTAGGGTCAATGTGAAGCTGAAATAGCAGTGTATTTGTGAAAGAAATAATATGTATTACCGGTCGTCAGCTGGTGAATGTTTTTATTCTAATGAAAGCATGTATAGTCACAAACAATATAAAATCTGGATGGAAAAAAAAACATTATAAACATCTGATAAATCTAGTTCTGAAATGTTCACAATAATATCTGCAATTCTATAACTTAGTTGCATATTTCACATCTATGTTCTTTCAGTAAAATAAAAATGTGACACATTCAGTAGTCATTCACATTTAGTGGTCCACTTCAGTAATAACAGCAACTGAACAGCTTAGAGACATCTTTAAAAGACGCATCATCCATTATCCAGGTGTACTTTTAAAGGGCAATTCCAACCATTTTTTTCAGTGTTTTAGATGTAGTGGGATGGGGTTTAATCTCATGCTAGGTTTTTATAGTGGGAGAGAAGAAGTCACAAACTATGTTTTGTGCTTTGCATACACTTAACATATAAGTTACAGGGGCTATCCATCGAATGTGGAGAGAACTGCCAGAATACCTAAAGACAAGAAAAAAAAAAAAAAGCAATATATTGTCGCTGACCGGTCCATAGATGTGCCATAGTAGCTTCATTCGTTTTCAAGTTCATTTTATGTTTGTGCAGAAAAATACTGGTTGATCCTGCCAGAAATTCAGTGTCTTTGTAAAATCCTGTGCATTGAACTGAAATCTCTATGTTATGTTTTCTAGCTTAAATCGGAGCTCCACCCAAAAGGGGAAGTTCCGCTTTAATGCATTGTCCCCTGCTCCTCATTAAGGATTGGCACCTTTGAGGAGCAGCTACCTGGATTTGACAGGTACCCACTTCCACTGCGATCGCCCAAGGTGATCGGAAGCAGAAGTTGTCCTCCCCCCTCCCTCCCCGTAGTCTTCTGGTATCCCTGCGGTCATTGATGGTATCATGAATTCACAGATACACTGCTCTATATTGAAAGAGAAGATGCTACTATCATCACTCTGTGCCCTTGGTCATCACACACTTTTCCACATCTAAGGCCACTGTTATATTTCTGAAGAACAGGGTGAAAATGATTCAGTGGCCAAGTATGTCTCCTGATCTGAACCCAATTGAACACCTATGGGGAATTCTGAAGAGACAAGTTGAACATCACTCTTCATTCAGCATACAGGCTCTAAAAGAGGTCGTTCTTGAATAATGGAAAAAGATAGATGTTGCAATATGTCACCAACTTGTTCATTCCATGCCTAGAAGACTTGATGCTATCCTTACAAATCATGGACGTCATACAAAATACTAGATGTAGTAGTTTGATGTTGTGGGGTGTAATTATTTTTGCATCAAATAATTTGAGGAAACCTGAAGATGTCGTAATCTAAGTTATATTGTTAACCTTACTTTCATGTAATGAGCTAAACAAATCTATAAAACTCAGTTTTGTCAAAATTTTGGAAATTGTTCTTGTGTTCATTGAAATATTGATTAAAATCGTATTTTCAAGAGGGGTGTACTCATTTACGCTGAGCGCTGTAAATATGTTTTAATCATACACATTTGTTTCTTCTGGTTACCAGGTAAATTATTATGGTTATTGTGATCCAAGATATACAGAATCTTGTAAATGGTAAAAAATAATAACCAAGATACAGATAGACAAACCTAAAGACTTGGAATCAAAATGTTACAATGGTTTTACAAAAAAGATAAAAAGGTCCTAGGACAGACTTGGGATGGAGGGACAGGGAAGAATGACACAAAGGAGAACAAGGGAAAAACACTGACAGAGAATGGTGGCAGGCACTGAAAGATGACAAAAACACTGAAGACATACAGGGGAAAGATAGAGAAAGGATAATGAAGACTATAGAAAAAAATCTGGTAGAGGGATCATGGAATTGTTATATTTTGGCTGTAAATCAAAGGATGGCTGCATGTATTAAGTCTGGTACACAGGAGCCAATTATTGACCTGTACCAGCCAGTTCAATAGAAACCGGCCAACATTCAGCCTATGTGTACAGCAACCTGACAAAAAAGCTTTTATTGAACAGGAAAACCAGCATCCAGTCAGTGCTTGCAGCCAATGGCTGTAAGTGCTGATCAGTGTGTTCTGGGTGGCGGGGCAGTCCCCTTGGTCAGAACACAATAGCTCAGTGGAGGAGATGGCCACACCAGTATTGCTTAGTTAGTATGGCGATCTCTCACTTGTTTTTCGCTCAGCCCGCTGGACTGAAGAAAAAAAAAAAAAAAGCTTCCCATGTTAAGCTGGGTTCACACTATAGGGGACAGCTGGTGGAGCGCTATACCTGTCTGGCAGCTGTCCACTCCAGACTGCGCGATTCATCACACGTCATCTTTTTTTGACAAACCTTATTTGAAGTATACAAAAAACGTACACTTAATTCATGGTGCTGTACAGCAGCGCAATGTGCTGCGCTACTGTACAGTGTTCTGTGATAAAATGCAGTATGTCTGCATTTTAGCGCACCTCCAGACAATGCAGTAGAGCGTCTGTCACTTTACAATGTCTGAGTTTGCGCTTAGAGATATATTAGGCAGTTTCTAGACACAAGTGATTACCTTACAAACGTGACAGAAGTAGATCCAACAATCAACTTTTGTCAAACAGGAATTTTGGAAAACTTGTGGATCAGCCAGTTGCAGCCACTGATCAGTATATTCTGACACCGAAGGACAGTGCTGTAAGAATACAATGGCACAGCGGTGAGGATTCCTCCATCCACATCGCTTGTATGGATGGGATAATCTGTTCGCTGATTGAAAGAAAAAAAAAAAAAAAAAAAAAAAAAAAAAAAAGGACCCATCTTTAGCCAGCCTTAGGACATTAGTACCAATATTACCAACAGCATCATCATCAGATGTTATATACCACAGATCTAAAACTGCAAACTCTTTGGATTGTTTTTTTTTTCTATGTACAAACACAAAATTGTACATATTGGTTTAGAAAATGGATCAGCTGCATTAAAACTGATATTTTGCTTCACACTGGTTGGCTTAATGATCCACATTTTTATATCTTTTGGAGTCTTCCAGAACTGGCTCAACTATGGGAATTCTCAGCCCTGATCCCCACACTGCAGTGCCACACTCCTGTGCCACACTCCTGCTGCAGCACAAAACATTTTGTTAGTTTGTAAGCTAAATTAAATGAATCAAACACCTTTTTGTATAGGCCTGCCACACTCACAATGCTGTCACAGGCAGCAACAGGATCTTGCAAAGCCTTGCCCTCTAGCACTGAAGCAGCAACATAGTGGGTGGGATTTACTATAACTGAAGCATGCAAAATCTAGTGCAGCTCTGCACAGAAACCAATCAGCTTCCATGTTTTATTGTCAAAGCTTCACTGAGCAAGATGATTGGCTACCATGCACACCTGCGCCAGATTCGGAGTGCATATTTCAGGTAATCTCCCCCAATAACAGGTCCTTGAGTTGTTAACCAGACAGTGATGCAGTAGAAGTGGAAAAGAGTTCTTGCGCTTTTAAGCTGGCCACACACGGATCAAATTTTGGACGATTTCTGCTGGCTTGGACAAAATTGAATCAGTGTACGGCTCTGCAGACACTTCAACAAAAGTCAATTGTTCAATTGGCTTGTCAAAATACCCTGTCAGAAAAATTGTTGGCCCAACAGCACCTCCATCCAATCAGATGCAGCACTGTTTGGGTATTCTGACGGTGTACCAGCAGGCAAAATACAGTAATCCATCAGGGGAAATTTATACATTTACACTGCTAACAGGAATCTGTTAGATTTTATTTGTTCAGCCTCAGGATGAATGAAAGAAATCTGTACATGAATGGCCAGCTTTAGCAATCCTGCAACTGGCATAGGACGGATAATCAGACATGGTTGTGGCAAATGAGTAGACTTGGAAATTAGGTAGAAATAGCACCATTGGATCCTCTGGCATCTGCCAAACAATTATAAGCTTGTTTTAGTGGTGTCAAGTAAAAAAGGCACTTTCACTGGTGAACATAAAGTTTTTTTTTGTTACTTAAACAAAGTTTCATAATCAATGTACCATACCAACTGCCCAGATTCTGGTTTGATCCCAAAGATTGGCCATTTATTGGGATTGTTTTCTGCTCTGCTAATAAGAGTTACAATATCATGCTTCCCTTTACCTAGGACTAGGACAGCAATTTTCCGGGCTTTATTAATAAGTGGGAGGCTAAAGCTCATCCTGTCATGGGGCTTTATTGGACTTCTTGAAAATACCACCAATTCATCTCCTGTGATCCCATTCTGAGAGCCAGGGAAGATGGAAGCAGTATGGCCATCATTCCCCAGTCCTAATAGTACAAGGTCAAAGCTTGAATTGCTGACCAAGGCAGAGATATCCTGAGCATAGGTCTGGGTACCCAGATCCTCTTCAGCACAGAGCCTTTGGTTCCTATGTACAGGCATGGGGTGAATATTTACATAAGGGACTCTGACATGCTGCAACAGGTGTCTTTCAAGGCTACGGAAGTTGGAGTCAATATCTGTAAATGGCACACAGCGTTCATCCACCATCCACAAATGCGTGTGTTTCCATGGAAAGCCATGATGGTGCCTGGACAACCTCTGAAATAAAGCAATAGGGCTGGAGCCCCCAGAGAGAGCCAGATGGAAACTGCCTGACCTCTTCACAGCTTCATCCGCTGCACTCTGTATGTCCTGTGCTAGTTTCTCTATCAGCTCTTCAGCCCAGTTAGACACCATGGTGTTCTTGAGGAATTTGGATTGTGTTGAAGCAAATGCATTTGTCTTTTGCTCCATGCCCATTATCTGTAAGTGTTCATCCGTTAGAAAACGTAACCCACTATGTTCTATTACAAAGTCTAGCAAATGACCGCTCTCTGACCCTCCTGGGTAGACTCTTGGTGAAGTGCTCTCCAGCTCCTCTAGGAGGGGAGTCCAGAACTTCCAAGAAGCCAGCAGATTTTTTGTTGTGATGAAGGACTCCTTCTTTCCACGATAAATATTTGAGATTAGTATGGAGTAAGCCTCTCTTTCTTGAATTGGATGATATACATGATAATCAGACAGAGGTTGACCAAACAAAAAGACATTTGGGAGTTCAGACACTTCTTGCCATTGGCTGGGTACAAGGCTTGGTTTGAATAGATTCCGACTTACTAGCACAGCTGGAAAACCCAGCTCTCCATGTCCAATGTGGAATACAATCTGCCTGGGTTTACATGGATTTTTAACTGGGTCCCGGGCCAAATCTTTTTGCAGGCAGAAGGCATTGTCTTTAAACACAACTCTGACATATGAAGTCCTCTCATCCAAATCTTTGCCTGATACCAAGAGAAAGGGCACTCCTTCCCACCGCATGTTGTCAATATAGATAAGGACACCTATTAAAAGAGTGAAAAATAGTTTAGACCAGGTTTCCCTGTACATTTGTGCCATTTTCTGAATGTCATGACATTTTACATATTACTTTTCATCTCCTCTGCTTATATTTCACTAACATTTTATATTAAAAAGAACATTAGGCTGTAGTTTTAAAAGAAACTGGGCCTCTTTTACTAAAATGTAAAAAAAGGAAACCGTGTGTTTACTGCTCATAATGAGCAATTTTGAGTGACCCTGTCATTTTTATAAGGGCTACACCAGCAGCATATATAGAGCAAAGCTTTCCAACTCGCTCTCTGGAGGGACCTTCTTCTCCAACCTGCATCGCTGGACTGCTCTAGAGATTATTTAAGTCCCACTGGCAGAAACTCATTTTATTCCCAATGACAGCAATGGTGGGACTTATTTTTCTCTCACTGACACCAACAATGGGTCTTATTTTCCAGAAAATATGGGGGAGGGTACAGTGGCAGTAAGCAGGTGAGCAGAATGGCACCTGGCGATAGAGCTTTCTGGAAGGAGGTTGTTTCCGTTGTATTCATGTCTTTTCCTGGTTTTATAACAATATATATGGCCTTTACCATCTTACATCATGGGATTTTCCCACCATGCATGGGTCTTAGGTGCTTTGTACAGTCTTGTCAGGGCACAACAGAAATGTTGATTTAGAAGCAGATGAAATGAACAGAAGAGAAATCCAAATCAATTCAATATTTGGGGTGACCACCCTTTGCCTTTATCCCTTTCGCTGCCAGAGCCGTTTTTGCATTTTGCATTTTTGCACAAATGTTTAAAAATCATTTTAGGCCTGAAGATTACACAAAACCCCCAAACATTATACATTTGCTGAAAGCGGACACCATAAAGAATATAATAGTGGTAGTTCCAATTTTTTATGTCACACAAAATATTATTTCAAAGATCTAGGAAAGGCAAAATTTCATTAAAAATAAAAATCACACTAAAGTGAATTTTAACTGTGAACTTTAAACAAATGCAATAAATTACCCAAATTTTTGGTAAAATATAAAAGACAAGACTGTGCCGAGTAAATAGATACCCAACAGGCCAAACCTTAAATTTGCGTGTGCCTATGAAATGGTGACAGACTTCATTACCCTATATTTTCTATAGAAAACACTTCAAAAGCCCCTATAGGTCATCAGTTTAGTGTTACAAAGGAGGTCTGGTGCTAGAATTATTGCTCTCACTCCAACGTGTGCGGCAATATGTAACGTGTATCGCCATCGAGGTTTTCACACGTAGGCGCCTCGATGTGTGCGTTTAGGTTTGTATATGCATATACGTGGGGGAATGGGGGGCTCGGGTGTAACCAATTTTTTTACAAAAAAAAAAATTTTCTTTACTTAACTTTTTTTCTCCCTATGTGATGATTTTCTTGTGACAGGTTCTCTTTATTGAGACTTGCAGGGCCTAAAAGATCCTGAAAGTCTCCTCTGTGATCCATTAGATGTATTGCAATGCAAACCACATTGCAATACTTCTTTCCCTGGCTATTCTAGCCGAGAAAGTGACAGCCGTGACCCGTAAGTGACGTCATCTTCCAGGTCACACAAAGAATGGGAGGGGAGCAGATGTTCGTCCGCTCTCCTCTCCACCTGCTATTTATTGCCACCCAGTAATAAATTTGAAAGTTTGGGAGTGCCAAGCCTCCCAAATGAGGAAGATGTAAAGTGGACTTTATATCGAGAGACGGAGGAAGAGCACCATTCCAGATAAAGAAAACCTACCAGGTGATCTGTGTCCCTAAAAAACGGTGCAGCCTAACAAATTTAGGGGAACACTTGACCAAGCTCGACACCGCTCCTGTAATAACGACAGAAGGGAAAGAAGATTATGCTCCTGGAAATGGGATGTCCCTAGTGATGTGAACTCCCAGATAACGGAAATTGCCAACAAACTTTAGTGGCGAGGGACGTGCCTCCATGCGAGCACAGACATCCAGGGCAAAAAGAAGCGAGACGTAGACCAATTAATACGGACACCCGAGAAGGAGCCATACTCATCAAAAGGCTCCAAAGCCTTCAGGAGCGAGGGACCCGCATCATTAAGATACAATAGGCCATCATCCACAAATAGGGATAATTTTTCTTCCAGTGTACCTACCAGGAAGCCCCACAATTGCCAGAGTAAAAATAGCCAGGTGTTCCAGGGCCAAGGCAAATAAACTTGAAGATTAGGGGCAGCCATGGTAGGTACCATGATGCAGTGCAAATGGATCAGGCACCCAGTTATTAGTACAAACGTGCACCATAGGGGCCCAAATCCAAAGCGTCTCAGGACTTCCCAAAAATAGACTCACTCTGAGTCAAACGCCTCCTCGGCGTCTGAGGCGGCAATTACCCTGAAGCCTATGTTATCATGCGGAAGAGATAAATTCAGGAAAAGGTGTCTTATATTGATATCGGTCCCCTTCCAGGCATAAAACCAACTCTGCAGATTCAGATGGGAAGTGGAAACTCTGCAGATGGGAAGTGGAAACTCTGCAGATTCAGATGGGAAGTGGAAACTCTGCAGATTCAGATGGGAAGTGGAAACTCTGCAGATTCAGATGGGAAGTGGAAACTCTGCAGATTCAGATGGGAAGTGGAAACTCTGCAGATTCAGATGGGAAGTGGAAACTCTGCAGATTCAGATGGGAAGTGGAAACGCTGTAGATTCAGATGTAAAAAGGAAACTGTCAGGAACCATAAACCAGGCAGAGACAGAAAGTGCAGTTAAAAATCACACCTTTAATGAAATAGTAAAAATAACAGTTCAGGAACATAGTCAAAAACAAAAGCCAGGGTTTGGATGCCAGTGTGGGTGCTCAGACGAGTCGGGGTCAGAAAACCAGAAGTCAGCATAGCCAGGAGCAAAAACCAGGAACACCAGCAGTTCCCACACTCAGGGTGCTTTGTCATGCATAAAATGACCCTATACTATTGTGTCTGAGGCTGTCCAACTGTGTTGTGCAAACTTTAAAATGCATGAGGTCCTGCGATCTCAACCAGATTAGCTGGTCAAGCAGTCACACCTTTTTACACAAATAGGAATATATTTAGAAGAAGCAACTTACTTGCAAATGTCTGTGTTTTGGTGAAAAAATGTGGAGGTTTTTCCAACTCCTCTCTGACCTGTTGCACATAGTTTTGGTACTGACCAATGATAGCACGGCTGCCTTCCAGGGGGTGCAGAGAATCCAATAACTCCAGCTTGGCTCTCAGGACATCACTTGAGCTGGTAAGATTATTTGGCACTTCCATGGCAACAGAGGTCAAAATTTCTGTCAGGTGATTCTGGATGACATCACGTATGACACCATATTCTTCATAAAAACTGGCGCGGCCTTAAAAAAAAAAAAAAAAAAACTTCAATAAAGTGTAAAGTATTAAATGCTTGAGTTATCTAGAGATTTAGGAATAAGGTGAAATAATTTCTTTATTTCTTGCTCCTGCAGACTTCCTCCTCTTCATAGAACAGGACCCAAGACGCTACTCCTCTGCACTGCCCAACCTGTCACAGCTCTCTGATGTCATAATGGACAATGCAGGACTAGCTGTCCTGCATTGTACATGATGACGTCGAGAAGCCACCTACACCCTGGAAGCTTTGGAAAGCAGAGAAAAGCGCTGCCTGCCAGGGGGGTGAGTAATAACACAAGTAATTTCCCCTATTCATCACCCCCTAGACAAAGAAAGCATTTAACCCTTACAGTTGCCCCCACTCTGCACTACTAGGGCTGAATGCTGAATATGGTGAATTATTTACCTTATTGATTGCCCTCTAAACTTTCACAAGAATGGATTACATGGGCTTAGGAGTGGAGAAGGTGTGGGGCTATGCATTTACAAAAAAAAAAACGAAATTGGCAAAAAAATTCAGCTGGATAGATCTCTGGGTGTACTGGATCTCTGGATCATTTTGACATGTGGTTTTCAGTGATAACATTCACCTATGATCCCATTTTTCATATGCTGGGTTTGAATTGCCAAGTTTTGTAACAGGTTTACCTTAAAAGCAGAACTCCAGACAAACATTTTGGGAGGGACCCAGCAGGCCCTCCCAATACAGGCTGTCTGCAGAAAAGTACAGGAGAGGACGGAGACAAGAACAGTCACTGTGCACGAGGAGAGAAAGCAGCAGAGACTGGTCTTTAGGGAGCTCCTGCATGTAGGCAAAAGGTTAATGCTGGAATACTGCACAGATATGAAAAATACACACCAATATTCAATTAGGAATACGTGTACCTTTTACGCTTAAACATTTGTTTATATTGACGTTCAGCTTTACACCACAATTAAATACTTGAGAGAAACAAAAAGTTACTGACAGGTATGCTTTCTATTGCTCATATCTCTTTTCTGCAATAAAAAGCTTTTTGCCTGTCAGCAATTTTCTTCACATTGTGCTCTGCACAGCTCAGTGTGCAATCTTGCATGTCTAGGTGCTGGAATGCATTAACTCAAGTAAGATCGCAGAAGATGTGAAACCAGAAAAAAGATGGGGCAAAGATGTCAGTTGTGACAATGGAGCCTCAAGGGAGATTGCGGCCACTGCGGCACTGGAGGGTCGCTCTGGCAGATAAGTGTGTCACAATGTGCAAGTATGCATAACATGTGCTTTGTGGCAAAAGCCCACCCACTTTTAACTGGATATCACTTCCACAATACACATTACATGCATGTGAACCTTTTAATCCACAAATCAACACAGACTCAGAGTAAGAGTACAAAGAAAACAATAGTTTTTTATGTGCCCTGTTCGCACCGTATGTGTGGAGTGGTGTGCACGTCATAAAAATACAACATGCATGCATTTTACACAGCAGAATGCACTTTACAGCATGTCAATGCACTGTACAGTTGAATGAACTGTCATTTTGTGACATTTCAGTAGAGTTGTAAGAACACATTGCACAACCCTTCATAAAGCACAGCAGCACGCACATATTATATGGTGCATAATGCATGCTATCTGGTATTGACATGCCCATAAGACTAGCTTCACACTAATGCAGTGAGATTTTGATCTGATTTTCAGCACAATTTTCAGGTGCAGTTCCAGTGCAAGTTGATGCAATTTAGATACAGCTGTGATTTCTGGCTGGGGAAGAAAACCTGCTGGAATCGTACAACAAAAAGACAGATAAGCAATTTGAAAGTGATTCCATTGAAGCCTATGGACCAAAGAATCGCACTGCATCACACCCTTTCCCAGTCGGATCACAGCTGCGCTGCATTGATGCAAACAGGCTCTGTAGAAACCAATGTTATTTCCTTGGTCATGAAATTCAGTACTATACAACTCGCATCTGAAATCGCTTCAGTGTGAACCAGGGCTCAATATATTTAAAGAATGAATCTACAATATGTTTGGCATCATGCCTTGCTGTATGCAGTTTCAAAATTCAAATCACCTTTGCAACTCAGTTGCAAAGTTTCTTACCTGTAGATCATGAAAGGATGAGCGCTTCGTGTTGCAGGCTAACAATGCTAAACCACTACATACTTTAAGTGCTGCGCTATTCCTTCACTATCCCCTTAAAAGTGCAGCACTTAAAGTATACAGTATCTTTTATCTTGTATCAGGATATCGTGCAGGCGACTTCTCCTGGGACACTTATTGCCCGGGCACCCATTTCTAAGCTTATAAATACTAAGTATTATTAGTCTGCTGTATGCACGCCTTCCGTTGGCTGTTGCATTGGCCATCTGATAGGTAGCTCAGTGGGTAACTGAAGGAGTGCACATGGCAGGCTGACAACGCTGGTGCTAAATGAGAGGCTGTGGCTTAGTGCTCTCACATAACCATATTGAATAAATAGAGCCGTCAAGCACCAGAGAGTGATTATTTTGTAATGGCTATGAGAGACATGATTTATTATTGGAAGAGATCTCACCACTGGAGTAGTATTTTAGCCCCTACCAACAACATAAGTATCAGTTGTAAGGAGAATTGGCCTTTAGGCCATTCAAGACATTAACTTCTGAGTACTTACCCTTAAAAAAAAAATTTAAAATAGTAAATTGTAGCGTTCACTTAGGTCTTTAAAATACCTTTTGCATCAACTGTTTCCTTCATGACAATTTCCACTCTATCCACATGCTGCCTGTTCCAGATTGAGTCCAGATTCTTTTGGTTGCGCCGTCTGAAAGGCAAAATCTGTGCAACTGCCTGGAAAAGATAAATCACAAATATATTAGACCAGTGCTGCTTATCTCCAGTTCTTAGAAGTAACCAGTCATGAAAGTAACTGACAGCTAGGACCTTTAACGCCCAATATCCTTAGTTTGTTAACAGTGTATCATTTATTGTACTTCCTGTGATATTTATAGCTAAACAGATAAATACAAACATTAAACACATTTCTGAGAGGTGTTTTGGCTGCCAAAGGATTTGAAATCCTGTCCCTTCAGTCCTAAAGGTTTACACAGCTCTTCCACACAGCGCAGCCCTGTCCAGCAGGCAGGAGACCTGACTTTTCTTGGCTGAAGTTCAATAGCATTTACAGGTCTGGGTTTGAATGGACAGTGAAATGAGAAGCAGTGAACCAGGGGTAGGCAGCCTCAGCACTAAAGGAGCATGGTTAAATAGAGTATGAACTTACATACGTTATACAGTGTGCAGTGTTTGTACCCCCAGCATACTCTATTAGGGTTCATGCACACTGGGCTTTACCAGGCATTTTATACACCTAAACGTAATTTCCCAGTGCTTTCCCGAACCCAGGGATCCGCACATGCCCTGCAAGTGAATGGCTGTATGAGGCTGTATGAGGTTGTGCTCTTGTGAGAATCCAAGGCTTCTTTGCTTCTGTGTTCACCAATTCATGTGTGTCTGAAGTGATTTCTGAATGCAGAATTGTTGTGCTCGGAGAATACCTTGGATGCATATGCACAGGTAAACACCCAGGCAAAGAAGCATTTACAAGAGCAGGCCATGTCCTCCATTTTTTCTCCCCCCTCGCCAGGCTCGCAGAGTCCTTGTGTTCGGTCTGCAGCAGTTTCCATGAATCAGGTAATCAGCATGCAGCCAGCCATTTAAGCTGGCCATAGACAGATCGAAATTTAGCTGGTTCAGCAGGAACCGGCAGAACATCAGTCCATCTATGGGCACGCTGGTTGTATTGAAATTGATCGATCAACTTCAGTACAACCCAGCCTGTTGGGTTTTTTTCATATGATCACTGTGATCATTGTATTCTAATCGATCGACTTCTGTACAACCAGCATGTTGGAAAATTTTTTGCTCAATCAGTGTCGCTGGCTATAGATGGCAGTGTCAATGAGTTCATTCTGACAGTGGGAAACTCTCCAAGCTGTCAGAATACAATAGCTCTGTGGAAGGGATTCCCCCATCCACCTTAGACATGTGGATGGGGGAATCGAATATATTTCCTTTCAGTCATTCAACTTGCTGGTCATGTATAACCTGGCTTAGGTATAGACAGACATGTAACAAATCTGCATGTGTATGTACAATGTAATGCTTAACACACAAGCAGATCACTTCTATGAAACAATGACTGTAAGAAACCTGCCAATGCTTATTTGTAGACTCACTGAGACATTTATCCCCATCTCCTTAAACGTTCTTTAGAGACACTAAAGATTTAAGAATATGACAGAATCTCACACATTGATCATGATAAAGTTTTCCCTATGTCAAACTGGAAAAAATGTACAGAAACGCTTAAAGCAGTATAAACCCAAAAGTCAATGTTTATTTTTTTATTGCAACTTACCAATCATTAGATTTGGTGAACCTATTATTTTTTAATTATTAATAGGTTTGGTGAACCTATTATTGACAGAGCAAGCTGTCCTGCAGATGCAACAGTTAGGGTGCTGAGATCACCCATTTTCATAAGAAGAGGGTTGCTTATAATGGTCAGCTTTTATTAATGTAAAACCTTTATTCCAAAAACTGTTGTTGTAACTGCTAAAAAGTGTTGGCTGGAGTCTGGCTTTAATTTGTTAGTGTATCAAAATCTGTTATCGTATTTAACACTCCCCTCCCCAGACTGACAATGCTGCTTTCCGAAAGTGTCTCTGTTGCTGCTTCATCCAGAGTGGTGGCACTCTAATACAGATGTGTTACCGGCCAGATCACCAGGTAAAAACAGAGGTAAACAGCCTAAAAAAAGAAAACTAATGCAACCACCAAATCTAATGATTAGTAAACTGCAATATTTTACAATTTCGGTTTGGGGTTTAATACCATTTTGAACTGTGATTTGTACTGCACACATTTTTCAATCCTTGAGTATGCGGTGTAAAACATGAGATGGTTCAGGTTGTTTTCTGTGCAGTCTTTCAGTATGAAATAAAAGAAAAGACTTCAGCATTAGCAATGTGTGGTCATCGATCATATCCCTTGTTCCCCAGGTGGCTGTTTGTGGGCTGATGTGTGGACTGACTTGGGAGCGGTATTGTGAATTTGCCTTGTGCAATCAAAATCTCATCTCCTTTTCTGCAAAAAGTGCTAAATCGGAGATATTTGTCGGCACGCTTGCTCATTCTTTGGAAGTGAACCTTGACAGGGCCCAGTTGTCATAAGCCACACACAAAGCAGTCCCTCAACTGAGACATAATGGTCTCTGTACAACAACCTTAAGACCTTCAGTCTCCCCCCAAAAAATTCAAAATAAACTGCTACAAATACTGTAGCTGATAACTTTTGGTAAAATGACACTCTCCAGGGATCCAGAGTTGTCCTTACCCTGGCCTGTTCTTCACTGGTCTTCGGGTTCCCAGTGCTGGCATGTTTACTGAGGGAAACAAGGACAAAGAGGGAGGGTGAACTTCCGCTTGGATCGCCTAGGCAATCTGGGTGGACGTGGGAGTGGGTACCTATCCAAACCAGGTTGATTGACCCCCTTCCCCCCCCCCCCCCAATAAAAAAAGTTTCCAGAAGTGGGAGAGGAGGGAAGAAGTCGGCAGTAAGGTAGATGACTAATTTTGGTAAGACCAGGCAAAAATTGTTAAGTCTATGGGTGGCAGCATATCCTCGGCCAATTGTTCTCATTGGAAAGGCTGACTGGCTGGATTACATTGTTTTGATTGAACACAGTAATTATTCTGGAGACAAGTCTAATACCACTGCTCCTACATCTTCAAAGTATAAACACACAGGCTTTCGGGGAACAAAAAGTGAACAAGCTTTTCAAGGAAATTAAAAAAAAAATAAATTCAGATAGTGGACTGTTTTCAGAACTGACTGGTTTTATATGTCTGTGACTCAGCTGAGCATACCTGCAATCTGTGGATTAAAGTTATCAGGCATGGTTCCCAATGCAGGAACATGATCCGAGAACCAGCAGCATGCAGCTGTGCGCACATTTATTTCTAAGGCAGCACTGTCATTGACAGTCACAGGTCTCAAACCCACAATTGGTAGCCAGTTAGCATGCTAGTTCCCAACTAAGTGATGGGCATGAAATCCAATCACAGTAATCATGTGAAGTTTGTTCATAAACAAAGCTGCTGTTTGCAGCGCTCACTTCCCCCTGAGCAGTGAGTGCACAGAGAAGAGTCAAAGTGACAGCTGTAACAGACGTATACCAATCATGCTACATTTGTTTTGGGCACCTAGGCTGGTTATGAAATGGTTAGTCTTACCTGTTTGCCTAGATAATGATCTACCCGATAGATCTCTTCTTCTCGAAAGAAGGTTTGCATATCACTGGCCAACTGCATAGCAGACCCATAGTCATGCCCAAAGGGCTTCTCCAACACGACACGTAGCCATGCTCCAGGGGGTGGCCGGCAGCTGGCATTGATGTTCCGAGCAATATCAGCATATGCAAATGGAGGGACTGACAAATAGAAAAGTCTTCCAGCTTCATGAAGGTCTTCTTCTGCTAGTGAAGTAAGGATGTCCTGCTGCAATGCTGTATAGTTCTCAGCAGTCTTCAACTGTCTGTAACGAGTGAGCTTTAGAAACTGGTCCTTCACAAGAGCACATCTGTCAGCCTCAACATCAGCTGGACAGCTCAGAGACTTAAGTGAATTGAACATTATCGCCTCTGCTTTTTCTGGAGGGGTCAGTGCAGCTCCATGAAAACTGAAGGTGTGACCCCTTGAGACTTCATTCAGATAGAGCTGGAAGAGTCCCTGCCATAGGTATTTTTTAGCCAAGTCTCCAGTAGCCCCAAGAAGAATAACCGATACGTGTCCTTTTCCTTTGCAGGTGACAGCAATCACGCCAACCAGGAGTATGCAACCCAGAGTCCTCCACTGCATCATGGCTGAAACTTTCAGGCTATGAAAAGAAAATTGTATTAAAAAAGTTTGCCATTAAAAAAGGAATTAAAAATATTGTGCTAAAAAAAAAAAAAACCCTGGGCATTGTGAAATATAAAGCACCATTCAGCTTCTCACTGAAACTGGCTATAGGCAGGAAGATGTTCCTGACTTACGGAAGACACACTGCTTGATATACTGGCCCAGCGTGTGCACAGTTTAGGTCGCGCTTCAGGCAAAACTTTTTTTATTTTTGATATTTTGTGGAAGTATTCAAACCTCTGTCAGGTTCCAATTGCTGTCTGTAACTGTGGACACTAAGACAAAAATATCAGGTGAATAAGTGCCCCAGGGACTGGAGGACACAGCAACAAAAAGGCCTTTACAACCATACTAAAAAAGGATTTCTGTTGCGGTCTCTATCCTCATTGGACAGATCTCCCACCACTTCCTCTGCCTGTGACCTTGTCACAGAGATTTTCTAACACCCAGGAAAGTCTCTGAGCATCAATGAGTGATTATTACAGACAGAGCCATGTATTATTGCCCTCTCGAGTAACATTCAAGAAAAATACCAATCTGTGCTTAATTAATGTAGTGGGGGGGTAAGACAGCAGCAGCTCTCTCTCAGTCCACCCTTACCTGAGCCCCATCCCGATCCAGCAATGTGCATGAGAGCTGGATCCCTCCCAGGTCTATCTCTCCTCATTATCTCACACAGCTGCGGGAGCCATTAGCTCCTGCCACTGTCAATCACAGCCAGTAAACCAATTAGTACATTCACAGGATTGTGGCTGGGGAGCAAGCCCGCTCGACTGCCCCCATAGCAAGAGGATTGCCAATGGAAGCACTCAGCAGGGGGAGGAGCCAGAGGTTTTGTGCACAGTACTGGATCAATATCGGGCTCAGGTAAGTTGGGGGGGGGGGGGTGCTGCATACTGTAGGTTTTTTAACCTTCCTGAGAATTCATGTAAGTAGAAAACCTTCAGCCTATAGAATTACTTTAAAATGCAGTGGCAGCCAGTCAAAGACATTGAGTTTACCAAGATTAGATCAACAGAAGATCAAATCTCACAAGTAACAGTTTGTTATTATAATGTTCACCCTACTAAAAAAAAAATACTTTAGGTCATAAAAAGGAAAGTTTTAAATAGCCACTGTGTAAATCTTTCTGCTTTCTACAGAATTATTTCTATATTATTTCTTAGACCTATTAACTGCAGCTCAAACATCCAACCAAAGATTAAATCAAAGTAAAGTCCCGCTCCAGGTTCAATGATTGCCACCAACCACACGGGGTACTCACCAACTCCTTAAGACAGCACACACACAGGTTGGTCTACCTAGTACTAGTTGGTCCCATTCAACTTGGCTTGTTCTTGAATATTGAAGATGGTTTCTAGCTTATCAAGGACATTTCTTTGGTTCTTTAGTTCTTTTTTCAGGTCTTTGGAACCTAAGCGGTGGCTTGGATAAGTTACAAAACATCTTTACCATTGTAGAACAAGTCCAGTAATGTGTGGCAAACTACTACAAGCTACACCATGACCTGGAAAAATGACAATCTTCTCAGACACACAGATTGGACACATAGCACCCGAGTCCTCAACCCACTTCTTGGCCTCACATATTGTTACTCTACTCTGAATAACAATTACAAATGTAGAGTCTCTACTCTTGCTATTGCTCTCCATAGAAACCCCATCTCTTTTGACAGCATTGGCCTCTCTCTTTTACCTGCTGATGGGTCCTTTCCTCATCGAAAGCAAAGTGTTGATATGAAAGGCCAAAGAGCGGGTCCATTTAACGTTTTGCTGCCTAGCCAATCCCCATCTGTGTACACTATTTTCCTAGGAATATTATTGCTGCCACCAAATATGTTTGAACTGTACCTGATTTGTGTGTACTGTGTATACACCTGCTGGACCTGACAGAATAGCATGCATTGTGATACTGACAGTAAATTAAGGGCACATATAAGGTTCTTCATCATTTAACCTGCATGGGGTTCTTAAAATCCTCAGCAATACAAAGCAGCATGCACACCTACCTTTTTATAAAGGATTGATCAGGTTCCCCCTGCAGAGCTCTGTTTGTGCACAAGGATGGTGCAGTGAGCAGGCAATAGTGAATGTACAAAACTGGTAGGTCAATGATCCCTCCCCTGTTAAATGTTAATTATTACACAAGAAAATCCTTGAGCAAGGATTACACAGAAAAAAAATCTTTTCCCGGCAGTGAGAGTTTAGATATTCCAAGCACTCTCACTATCTGCCAGCAATTCTCTAGATCTCAGCTTGCTGAAACCTTATGGATAAGCTCTGCAATCAGAAAGGAGATAGCAGATATCAGTGTAGTGTTTACTGGAATTCTGGAAAAGGCCAAACAAAATACCACAATTAAAGCAATTCCATGGATACGAAAGCGGAGTAAGAACAATGCAAACCTTTCTGGAACCAACAGTTAGGCTAGCCGCAGGTGGGAAAGGATAGCAAGCAAAAACCCTGAGAAACAAAAGTGAAGTACATTAAGGGGTTGATTTACTAAAACTGGAGAGTGCAAAATCTGGTGTAGCTGTGCATGGTAGCCAATCAGCATCCATCTTCAGCTTGTTCAAGTAAGCGTTAACAAAAAAAACCTGGACGCAGCTTGGTATCCATGCAGAGCTGCACCAAATTCCAGTTTTAGTAAATCAACCCCAAAATATCGCTTTACTTTTTTCTTTATGAGAGTAGGCAGTCATCTGCATCACAAATTCAAAAATGTCTGTGTGCTATACCGAGAGCTTCTGACAGCTTCTACATAGGCTAGTCCTTGTCAACAGACACATTTGCTCATCAATTGGACACAGCATTGGGCAACGCATGAGTATTGCAAGTTGAAGATGAACTCTGGGCACAAAATCTGTCACAGAAATATATTCCTTAAAGTGATTCTTAATTTGAAAATAAAGTTAAAAAAAGAAAAAAAAAAAAGTTAAATTTACCTGCTCTGTGCAAAGGTTTTGCACAGAGCAGTCCCAATCCTCCTCTTCTGGGGTCCACCACTGGGACTCCTCCTCTTCCTATGGGGGCACTTATGCAGGCTTGCTCCCGAACCCCACTGTATTTGTCTATAAACTCACCTCCCCCCCAGCTCCCTTTGTCATAGGATTTGATTGACAGCAGCAATAGCTCCTGCCGCTATCAATCTGCCTTGTGACGAGGGAGAAAGATGAGAGCAACTGCTCTTGTGCACATTGCTGGTTTGAGATTATTATTATACAGGATTTATATAGTGCCAACAGTTTGCTCAGCGCTTTACAACATAACGGGAGACAATACAGCAACAATACAGTTTAATACAAAAGGGTTAGGAGCGCCCTGCTCCTTGGAGCTTACAATCTAAGAGGAAGATCAGGCTCTGGTAAGGGGGGGGGGGGGGGGGGGGAGTTTGGGGCGAGCTGAATACAGAAGTTTTTTTTACCTTCATGCATAGAATGTATGAAGGTAAAAAAAAAAAAAAACGTCAACTAAAATGGATATATAGCCACTTTGTGTGGCCCAAACACCTTTGCGAACCAAGAAATTACCATATAAAAGTAGCAGTGACATCAAAATTGTGCTGTACATAGTCTGTGCAGAGAGTAGAGCTGTGGGAGGCTCCATCTACTACAGGCTACTTACCGAAAACTACAGGGGAGGAGGGTGGAGACAAGACCAGCTACCCTACTCAAGGACAAAGGGCAGCAGTGAGCGGTCTTTATCAGGGGAAGCTCCTACACGGAGACAAACTTTCACATTGGGTTACCGCACAAATCCAGAAGAAATAAACAAAGCAGTCCAACTAAGAATTACACATTCGCTTTTTAAGTAGGGCAGCTCTTTTGCCATTTTATTTTATAGAATAAAAATTCCATTTTGCATAAAATGTGACCTTCTACCATGCCCACCTTATCAAATACATTAACCAGTTCTTGACCGCACTATAGCCGAAAGTCGGCTACAGTGTGGTCGTCCAGTTCTGGGAGGCCGTCCAGAGATGTCCTCCTAGAACCATGCCCCCCACTGCAGCACGCATCCGCTGTGCCCTGTGATTGCTGTCGTCTTTGGATACAGCTGATCACAAATCAGGGTAAAGGGCCAATCACAGCAGACCTTTGCCATGTGGTCAGCTGTGTCCAATCACAGCTGATCACATGTAAACACACTTGCAGGTTATCGGCATTCCTTTCCTCTTGCGCTGTCACAGTGTGAAGAGGAGAGTCAGTAACCGGTAAGCATGACAGGGGACATTTACACTGATAATCAGGGCACTGATCCTCAGTGTCCTGATTATCATTGCAGCCCCAACAGTGCTCATCAGTGTCACAGATTAGTGTGCATTACTGCAGCCTATCAGTGCAGCCTCACCAGCGCATATCAGTGAAGGAGAAAAATTACTTATTTGCAAAATTTTATAACAGAAACTAAGAGAAGGGTTTTTCTCTTTATAATTTTCGGGTTTTGGTTTGTTTAGCAAAAAATAAAAACCCAGTGGTGATTAAATATCACCAAAAGAAAGCTCTGTCTCAAAAAATGCTAAAAATTTAATTTGGGTAGTGTTACATGATCGTACAATTGTCATTCAAAGTGTGAGAGTGCTGAAAGCTGCAAATTGGCTTGGGCAGGAAGGGGTGAAAGTACCCGGTATAAGTGGTTAAAGGGTAATCCCACTTTCAAGGGGAAAAAAAATAGCAAATAAAAAATGATGTAGTGTGTACAATTGCTACACAAATCATATTGTAACTGAATGTTATTAAAAATTACCTTTCCTTTTTACTCTGCAGCTCTGTAGGTTTCTATAAAAATGCAATATGGCTACCTGAAGGCATTCTGTACACACCCCAGATATGTAATTTCCTGGTTGTGTGATTGGCTCACCGATTTTCCCTGAAGTCTGCACTAAGATACAAATCAGATTTTGGATATTTATATATATATTTTTGGATATGTAAGTACCATGTAGTCTGGTGTCTGATC